CCGTGAATGGATGGCGCTCTCGTGTGAACAGGCGCAAGATCGATGCGCCTGGGCAGTTGTAATTCGAGATGCAGTCAACGTCAAAACTGATGCCGGCTCAACCCGCCCGAGGTTAATGCCGTTACAAGTACAAGTACATAGCGGGAGGACGCAAAATTACTCATAGACTGTAGTCGCCGCTACTTCGGGGAGTCCTGTGGCGTTAGGTTAGAGGCGGATTAGGGTGGGCTTGAACCTATTGCTCGGCAATAGATGCCACTTGCTTGGTTAAGGGACAGTTTTGTTTAAGCTTGAGATGCTTTATTTTGAAATCTCTTCGCACGCGGCTTTTTGTTTGTAAGCTTGGGTGCGTTCGATTGGGTACAGCAGAGGTTTGGGAAATTCACCCGTAATTTTTCACATTTTCTCTATATTGCAAATAAATATGAGCGTCTTTTGGTGGCTGCACTTTCATGTTCCAAACCTACTTTTTTTCTGCTTGTTAGCCATAACTTCTGTCCATTTTTTTTCAAGAACAATGTCTTCTGCGCGTTAAGTAGGCCCTATACATTGCCCTGCCCTTTCCTTTTCCTAGATGCCGCCGTCTCCTGGGATCGTTTTTATTACCAATTGCCTAACGAAAAAGTGGCCATTAAAATCCCGTCCCGTAAGTGATTGAATACGGTGTCTCTGCATCGATGTTTGTTACTGTCTCTGTTCTCCAATCCTACCGTGTCACTTTTCCATTCCTAGAGTCCGTCACCGTCACTCTTCTCCAAAGTTTTCGACCAATCAAAAGCCTTGTCGTTGGCTTTAGTTTTGGCGGCTGGCAAATATGGCGTCTGACCGATTTAAAACTCATGTAAGTTTGCACTTTTGTTTTGCATTGTGGCCTTGTTTGCTGTTATTTCAACCACTCTTAACTATATCTTCCACACATTTTTCAGCTACACTTTTCAAAATCCAAGTCTGCACTGTGCCGTTGTTAGTTGTGCTTTCGTGGAACCTTCTGACGATCCAAGGTTTTGCTGCTATCTTTGGGTTGGATGGCAAGCTCCGAAAAAGTTCTCAAGAAGGAGGCGTGAGTCCAAGGAAGAAACGACCTCTACTGGCCCGACGGTGTGCGTCTTTCATCTTTTTTTTACCACCGTCGACTATTACCATATGCTTTTTCCCCGCAGATTTCCTAATTCCTTTCGTCTGCTTTGGCATATTTTAGGCCTACGTGTACCCTGTTTCAATTAGGTTTCCGAAATCGCATCGAAAATACCAATTCTGTCACGCAGGACATCGCTTACGAGTACGAAGTACGTTCTACTGTCACCACCGAAATGATGCTTACTAACTTATATTTAAGTAGCTATATTGTCGTAGTTAGAATTTTGAGGAACTAGTT